TGCAAGTAAAATATAAAAGCAATGCATATTTTAGTCCCAAATTTTTCTTTTTTTGCCAGTTCTTTGCATCTGGGGTGCTAAGTCAGACCTCTTAGCAAGGCTCATCATAGCTCTAAAAAAATGTAAAGAAAAATATCACTGCACAGCTCATTACTAACTCCTGATTTCAGAAGGCAAAAATACAGCTCCAGAGTCAAATGCAAATCCTTCCAACAGAGGATCTGAAAGCAACGGTATTTTTGGCTTATATTTGGGTTAAGTACCCTTCAAATATTTAGGTTTAATCTTGAGTGAAAAAGTCTGGATGCTCAGATTAAAATATATAGTGCTGAACACCGGCTTTATTGCCTCAACAGGATGCTTCTTCCAGTAGAATATCTACTCAAGCACTTCTTAACTCTTCACTTTGGTATAAATCATGAACCTCAGTCAGTCATGTCTATTGCATAAGTTGCCAGCAAGACCTTACTTAGCCTTAAAGTTGCCTACTGTTGAGAAAAGACTCCAGAAATCTCACCTCAATCAGTAAAGATTGTACTAATGTTAATTTTCCTTACTATATGTCACACACGTGATAAAGTAGATGTCCAATCAAATAAATCTTAACCTTTGTAATGAAAAAGTTGCACAAAATCGGTCTTACCCTTGCCCTTGCCAATAATGATGATGATGCAGAACTGAAACAATACCTGAACTCATTTTCAGTTACTCTCTCCTATCTTGGTGCACTGATATAGAAACACTTTAAGATTTGTAGATGGGACATCAGCTGTCTAATAGACAAAACTAAAACCCCAGACCACAACTACACAAGATGAAAAGAGGCAATTAAAATGCAATTCTAGTACCATTCTCTCTAATCGAAACATCTCTGCCCAATGCAATGTAGATATGAACCTAATTTACAGAAGTTGCTTGATAAATCCCAAACAGACATCTTGTCATTAGTTCTAACCGAGGAGCCTACTGGAACTCCCTACTATTCACAGCAGGCTTTTCAGCATCCTCAGAGTAACAACATGGTCACTGGTAAATCAGCGGTTTTGAAAGGTTCCAGACTGAGTCACTGCTGCAAGCTGGTCATGGCATGCATTGCTACACACAGAAAGAAGAATTAAGCAGCAATTCAAATTAATTTATGTACTGCATTTATGGAAGGAGTAGGACTATGATCTATAACACATTTAATGGGGAACCACTCTTGAGTGATTTTCAGTTAAACAACAAAACAACACAACAGAACCTGAGGTCCAGAAGGCTATTTTTTAATAAAGTTTTGAGTCCCTTTCAGCAACTAGGGACAACTTCACTATGGTGATGTTTGCAGTTAGAAATGTAAAATTTTATCTCAGAGAGTAATGACAAAGGGCTAAGTTCAGCTTAGTGAAAGAATCTCCTTTTGAATAAAGTTCACAATGACCAGGTCAAGCTTCTGCTCTGCACTGAACTCTGGAGGACGTCTCCTTCAGCACAAAAGGAGCACTTACAGATCGGTCACACTGAACTAAGGTTAGTAGCCTTGAGCTGCGCTCTTATTCACAAGGTGTGCTGGTTTGGGCTTGGATAAAGTCAGTTTTCTTCACAGTAGCTAGTACTGAGCTATGTTTTGGATTTGTACTGAAAACAGGGTTCGTAATACAGAGATGTTTTACTTCTCAGTGAGCAGTGCTTAGATAGAGTCAAGGCCTTTTCTGCTCCTCACCCCACCCACCAGTGAGGGGGCTGGGGGCGCACAAGAAGTTAGGAGGGGACACAGCCAGGACAGCTGATCCCAACTGATCAAAGGGACATCCCATACTGTATGATGTCATACTCAGCACATAAAGCTAGGGGAAAAAGAACGAAGGATGGGGATGGTCAGAATTATGGTATTTGTCTTCACAAGTACCCATTATGCATGATGAAGCCCTGCTTTGCTGGAGGCGGCTGAACACCTGCTGGTGGAAAGAGGTGAATGAATTCCTCATTTTGCTTTGCTTGCATGAGCAGCTTTTGTTTTACCTGTTAAACTGTCTTTATCTCACCCCGTGAGCTCTCTCTTTTACTCTTCTGATTTTCTCCCCCAGTCCCACAGTGTGGGGAGCAAGTGGCTGCACGGTACTTAGTTGCCAGCTGCGGTTAAACCGTGACACCAGGTTACACACCAGGACCACCTCTCTGAGCACAGAAGCTGCATGCAGCTGTTAGTTAAGTTCCTCCTCCAAACTGACACACAATGAGCTGTTTTTAAAGTGAGTAAGGTTCATGTAGTAGGCGTTTATTTCCTTTTTCATATATCTTCTATATGTCTGTACCTCCTCTTCCTGTGGGTAGCCTTCCAAAGTTCCTCTAAGATACTATGTACACTGCAATAAAAACTACATATCTGTTTCAAAAATAAGTAAAGAAGGCATGAGGTGGGTTACTACCTCTTCCCTTCTGAAAGTCTTTTCAAATAATTTTCTCTTTGTTCAACATTCAAAGTGTTGAATGTGAGTATTTTCACCGGTGACAAGAGTTTTCTTGAGAAACTTTTAGACATCTGCTTTTATGGCCTCTCAGGCCGTCAGAAAACCTCAAAATATTCAGATATTGGCTAGTTACAAAAGACTGACACAAACTTTCAAATGCTTATGCAAACTGATTTGAACAGCTACGGTGTTTCAAGGTCAGTCAGTCCAATCTCTGATTAGTAGTGCTGAGCAAGCAGTTCCAGATTTTTTTCATTAAATGCTGTTTAAACATTAAAAAAAATATGTGCTGCAGCCACCCTGTTCTATTTCTCGAGTTCACTTCCAGCTCAGCATTCAAATGGCTACATTCTGTTGGAGCAAAGAAAAATCAAAAATATCGATACACACAATCAATGACTTTGCACTCGTGCACAACTACTCAAACCAATGGTGCTTGCATATAGTAGGCAAAAATTGGAGTGAAACACTGTATTCAAAACCAAAAACCATTTACAAAGAAATTGTAATATGCTTTTAGGTGGCCTACAAGCAGAAAATAAGACAAAGTAAATTGGATAAATTATTCATTTAAAAATATTTTTTCATCTCTAGGATTCAGTGTGAAAGAACAACAATTATGCTACTGGTCAACAAACAGATCCACTTGCTTTTAGTATCCAGCTGGATATGTAATATAGTGGTTTATTTGGGAAGAAAAACTGTATTGATTATTTCCTGCAAAATGAAAAATATTTCCCCCTAAAATATAATTTACAAATTCATGTACAGATGTATGACAGTGACCTTTTCCTTCTACCTTCACATCCAACAGAGTTTTAATTATTATCTCAGTCATAATATACCCATAAAATACCAAGATGATTTAGACTGCACTTACAAGTCTTTGCAAGATGGCAAAAGATTTTCATTGCAAACTGGTGAATGACAGCAAGTCAGGGGAAACCCACATATTCCTAACAGTGGAATAGCAATGCTGAAAGGACACAGGAGATGAAAGGATCTCTAAAACATCTGAATTTGTCCTATAAAGTGATATGCTTCTTGCATATCTAAGTAGGCAAAATAAAAACAAAACCACATTTGTTTTTATTGGAGTAATCTATTACAAACTAAAACAACTCATTTAACTGTGTGCATATTTGGCGCTCCTCGGAGTGTAAGCACTTCAAAAAACGTGGAATTGGCTGAATGCTTTCCTGACCTTGATAATCCAGCTCCCTCAACTTCTCCCCCTGCTTTCCATATATTTACCATCCATAAAAAGTGTAAGAAATGTTCCTTAAAAACTGCTTAATACCCTAGGACATTTACTAGTACTGCAGCTGAAAAACAAACAAACAAAAAGAAGAAAATATTTACTAAATTGATAATATTAATCTTACATCACAAGAGCTCTATTTTGAAATTTGTCACTCATGGATTAAAAAAAGATGGAGTTCTGCACAGAAAGCGTCATACATTTTGATACTAGTGGATAATACACTACCCATCAAGGAAGGATATACTTTTTAAGTTCCTTTTTTAGCAGAGCTATCTTCTCATTAAAGATGGAAATTGTGTTGAGGTAAAGAATAACAGAGAGTAACTTTCTTCCCCTCCTTTTCTGCAGCTGTTGTTCAGTTGTGATTCTTGGCATTAACAGAATGTGTGTCCCTGATTTGAACTGGCCGTGATCTAATCTCTACTCTGTAAATACAGATTGTTGAGTAAAGCTTTTTCAACAAAGATTAATTTCTGTTTTGGTTTATTTTTTTTCTGTTCTAAGAAGACTATTAATTGAATAAAACTGCATCTTCTCAATTATAGTGTGTCTCCTCAACAGTTCTCCTTGTGATAGGATTACAGAATGAGCGGGATGTTCATTTCACCCTCGGATTTGCCACAGCTGGAAAAAGTCAGACATCGTAACTGATAGCACTTTCCTCTCTACCTGGGTATTTGTTGTTATGGTGATAGTTACAGAAGGGAGCATTAATGAGGATGACTTGAAAGCTTTGATGTTTACAGAACAATTATTTTTAACATCTTATAAGAAAAAGTGACAGTTCCGCTCTTGCTAAATATGCATCACTGTATCAGCTTCCATGAAAACTACCCGAATTTCTATTTGTTATGTATCTATAACACAATGCTGAATACAAACTTACATGTATCTATTTACATGTTATAAAAAGGTTTTTGAAGAACCAAAAAAATCCCATTTTCTCACAAAGGATATAATCTGTTATTCCTAAGAACTTGCCTACAGTAATGAGTGACTTTTAATTATAATACAATCTTTAGAATATCTGTATTGCTCTTTCATGACACCCTGAGATCTACCCAGTATGACCTTCTCATATCCAAAACTGTGCTGTGAACAATTCTATGAGCCCACATCACCAAAACCACAGCTCTGGAGACACACTGCATCGCCCAGACTGTAATTCACCACAGGGGTAAGCAGAAGAGACAGAATTTTTGACCTGGAGTCTTCCAGATCAGAGGTACTTGATGTTCCCCACGCAGGTTGGCTCACACATGTTATGAATGCATGCAGTTACTTACATATTCTTCATAGGCCTCGTGTGCAGGTGGCGGGGGTGGTCTGTAGCCCGGGACAGCTGGGGCGCCCCTTGCTCGAGGGGTGGGGACACCTCTCGCCACTGGTGGGACTGGGAGGGCTCCACGGGTCACTGGTGCTCCTCGGGGTGCTTGGGCACCTCTTCCAGGCGGGGGAGGAGGAATCGCACCCCCACGTCCCCTGAGGGGGTAAAAACCGAATGATTACCTTGGTGTGAACGGCAAGGGAGGACACACAAGTGCTACCGCATTTTAAACGCTCTTACATTTTTACTGTTATTTAAAGTGTCATATAACTTTGGCAGCTACAATGTCAAGCACTTTTAGGCAATATCAGGCAGAACTCATATTATGGAAAGGCATTATTTTTACACCATCCAGGGCCTTTTACACCTCATCTTGCTGCTCGTACTAATGAAATTCTGGATCATTGTAGTTCACAGAGCTGCAAAGTTACTCCAAAGTACTTATAGAGAAGAAAGTGAGAAACTTTTTCTTTTGCTCTCAAACTATTTTATGATGGCAGTCACCACTCTCACCCTCATGTTTATTGGTGGGTGGGAGAAACTGACTGGCAGAATATGCTGCAGTATGGCAGAAACTTTCAAGGCAAAGTAGAGCAAGAGTATAAAAGTGAGTGATAACTTTGCTGTCCATTTAATTTATTTCAGCACAAGGGAAGTGCAGCACGGGATCTTGCTTTCCCCTACTGTGCAGAGAGAAGAGTAGCATACAGACAAGAGCAGGGAGGTTTAGCATCTTCCTATGTATTTATACAATATCCACCTTGCTGTAAAGTATTTGGTAAGTCAGAAGTTGTTAATGGTTAAAAAGAGGTTCTTGTAGCTATATCATATGGCTCCCTGAAGCCTTCTCTTTTTCAGGCTGAACAAGCCCAACTCTCTTAGGCTTTCTGATTGGAGAGGTACTCCAGCCTCTGACCATTTTCATGGCCCTCATCTAGACCCACTCTAACAGGTCCATGCCTTTCTTGTGCTGGGGACTCTAGAGCTAAATGCAGTAATCAAGGTGGGGTCTCATGAAAGCAGAGTACAGGGGGACAATCACCTTCCCTGACCTGCTGGTTACGCTTCTTTGATGCGACCCAGGATATGGTTGGATTTCTGCACTGTGAGTGCACGTCTGCTTTTCATTCCTTAGGGAATCCTTTTCAACCCTTAGGAATTGCTCTCAATCACTTCATACTCCAGTCTGAGCTGACACTGGTCATGGATTACCCATGTGCAGGACTCTGCACTTGTTCTTTCCTGTACTTCATGAGGTTCATATGGCCCACTTCTCAAGCCTGTCAAGGTTCTTCTGGAAGGCATCCCTTCCTTCCAGCTTACCAACTGCACCACTATAAATGTCATTATGCTATTACTGTAAATTATTATCATAAATATTTATCTTAAATACTTCAGTGTTGTTTTTCTTTTTTAATATTCTCCCGGGCTATCTGACTGGAGAATAAGCAAAGCATCCAAGTTTCTGTATCTGTGCAACTGATGCAATCAGTTGGGTATCTTGCAGGAGCCAGAACTTCGCTGATTATGCTCTGAACCGAATTTAAAAGCTGCCAGTGCGTTGCAGTGATGTCCTGAACGTTATTATTAAGTCAAGCCCTTCAGATATCTTAGGTGTAAGGAAGACTTGTTTCTGAGCCCAAAAATACTTTGTATGGAAGATGGTCATGAACGCAAAGTGTAAAAAATCCTATGTATGTGCATCATATTCCTTATAAAAAATTCCATTCAAGAAAAATGGAGTGAAAATATGATGGAAACCTTCAGGGGAAAAAAGAAAGGTCATAGGCAAGATCAGCCAGTTCAATTACCAAAGAACAGCTCCTCTGTCAGCATGAAATAAGGTACCTCCATATCCTATTTCTTCCAAAATAAAAGTGGATTTCTTAGGACTTACCCTGAAATGATGTCTGTGGACACCTAAAAGTTGCTAGGTAACTTAGATGCCTGAGGCAACAGATTTCTTAAGGGCTCACAGTGAAAAATGCGTCTGAAAGAGTGTATTAAGATTATATATTGGCCTCACAAAAGAGCAGAGCTGCTACCTGTATCTGCAAAAATACTTGGAAGAATTCATGAAATATTCATACATCACTGTTTTTAGATGATGACAGTCTAATTCATACAAAATTGTTAATCCATGCAATAGATAATATATAATGCAATATTTATGTATTATAGATACAATACACATACAAAAAAAAAAAAAGTAATTGTCTGGCAAATAAAAGTTCCACCCAGACTATGTAGCCATCTCTGACTATACTATTTCACTGACCATCAATTTCATGCTGCTGACCACAACACTGCTGTGCCAACATAGCAATGTTCTTTCCTAGAAATATCCTTTCACCAACTTCATAATCTGCTCTGATTTGTTGATTATTTGTATACCACTCACTGTAGCCTGTAAATTGTAGGTGATAGAACTGTAGGCATAACATAGATCATACAAGCTATCAGAAGGAAAACATTCTGGTTCACTGACCATGATGTGTACTTGACTTTCTTTAATTTTTATTATTTTTTTTTTTTAGATATGCTTGTTTTGCCATTGTTTATACTGTCTAAAGCCATTAGCATAATAGCTCAGGTTACCACACCTTGAAGGAGCTGCAGGTGGCACACGAATACCTCTTCCTCGAATGCCCCGTCCACGTGCTGAATCCTCAGAACCATTCAAATATGACAGTTCTCTCAGCTGTTCCTGGCGAATTTCATCATTATAGTCCTAAAATGCAAAAGGTAAAACTTGCTGAAAGTTTGCATTTTGACCATGAAAGCACCCAAACCAGAAAGTTTGTGTTTTGAAAGTTTTTATTTTGAAAGTTTGTGTCTGGGCTGAGCTGCCAATACACCCAAACCAGAAATTACATGGATGGTATTTGGGTGAATCATTCTGCAGTATCACCTGCATGCTGAAAAAAAACATACATTGGGAGCGGGCAAGTACCTACAGTAAGTGGACAGACAAATTTATACAGGGAGTGAAGGTGGCCATAAAGAACATGTACACACAGAATAAACCACACAAGGCATAGCAAGCATAAATACAAAGGATACATCAAGAATATATCTGTATACAAGATGCAAATGGACTTTCACATATAAAAGGTACCAATCTCAACTTGAAATTAGATCAAAAAATGCCTTTTACATATATATATATTTTTGGCAGACACCCCTGGCTACCTTTATTCACTTAAAATGCAAATTCCACCTTACATTGCACCTTAGTATACAGAATTTATACTAGAGTCATTTGATTAGGTGATTTAATCCAGTACCAATTAGCATCACTGAATGAAGCCTTCAATTATTCTGTTTATCTACTAAATAACTTCTTACAGGAGAAAGAGCTCTCTCTTTCGGATTCATAAGTAACAAAGATATGTTTACTATATAAAATTGTTAAATGATATAAAACAGGCCCATTCCAAGACTGCAGGGTATCAACTTTATCACTGCAAACTCAGTAAACAGAACATCAGACGAATTTCCTTTTCTTACTGATACAAAATACATAATATTGGGCAATTTTTACTTATTTTGTAACCTCTGTCGCAGTCAGAAGTTCCTTTTTTTTAGCTTCCTTCCTTTGGTGTTCTGCTCTTTGCCTGCTGATCACAGTAATAAGAGCCCAGTGCATCAGCAGGCTCACTGGCAGCACGACTGTGCGACAGATAATTAGTGTTTGAAAACATAAAGGATTACTGAATTTCAGCTATTGAATTTCTCCATCCTTGCACAAGCAACTGCCACTGACTGTCATGCAAGAGTCTGAAAATGCTACAGTGCCTCCTGTCTCAGATGGGTGACTCTCCAGGATATATAAGTGATGCCTCTTTTTAGCCAAGTTAAAAACCTAGCAAACAGGTAGATGGAATTAAGGTGTTCCTTCTCCCTCCTGAGGAGGTCCAGGAAATCTGTTTAAAGACATGATGCTGATCTTCTGTGTTCTAAGAGAGTGTTAATCTGGTCACAATTTCCCTTCTAAATTTTTACAGACTGAAGCTGGAGTAAAATCCACTAATGAAATTCAGAAAAGAACCTCATTTATACTTGCAGCAGAATCATAATTGAAATCAAATCCCTAATTTGCTAGTAAACCAGTTCACGGCTTTGAGTTCACACCAATCCCCAAATCCTTTTTCACATTTTTCTACCATTCTAACGTTAATGGTAATAAGCAAAAGACATCTTCCTAAATCAATGCTCTGTGTAAAACACAGAGCGAAAAGCACAGACAGAATCAGTGATGTCACATTTACAGCAATTGCTGAACAGGTACAATCTACTGCGGCTTGCTTAATATCATCTATTATGCATACTGGCTTTACAAGGATTAGGACTTCCTACTTGCTGATTAAGTTCACCCTTCAGACTCCAGACCAGTGCTGGGACTGCACTTCATTAACAATGCAAGAAAATTTTGTAAGAGAAAGATGTGGGGAAGAGGAAAAAAAAAAAAAAATGGAGAAAGGACCTTCAAGGGACAGGAATTGGAACTGTGCTGCTGCTTTAATCTGTTTTTTTTTTTGAACACTGTCTTATAAATGAATTCTATCAGAAATTGCCACAGAGCTGCTATTCAGATACACGTGTCATTTAAAATCTTACTATTGATGAAACGGAAAATCCAAATAAAATCTATAACATAGAGCCAGATCTGCAAATCTACACCACTGTGCTATGCAATGCCCTTAGTTTTTCCTCAGGTTATTTACTGCATGTCAAGTTAAGAAGTATCTACAATGTATTTTGAAATGCAAGGTAAAGACAACAAAGTACATGAAGACTGTAATTAAGATGCTGGGATGGGATCCTGAAAGAGAAAGATTTCAATAAAAATTTGTAACTCTATATAGATCAATTATCTTATGTTCCATTCATAAAGCATGATAAAGACCATAATTTCTAAACCTAAAATCTGAAATTTTCAACAGAAATGCTCACTTCAACTCCTTCATTACAGAGAAACATAACACTCAATTAATCTTTCATAACTGCTACATGAGCTTAGCTAGAAAGAGTATCCTGATGAATATTTAATTGTAGGGGAATTCAGAGCCTAGCACATGAGCAAAATTGTGCGGCTGAAGCTTCATATATATCTAGCCCCAAGAGAAAGCACAAGATGTTGAAGACATACCTGTACTGAAGAAAGTATAATGAAGTAGGTACACACTGTAGTAGTATGCTATGTTTTAGAATAATCCCTCTACTCTTCATATTAAAATAAGTTTATGGGAAATGTTCTGTACTTCTCAGCTTTTCTTCTAGCTTTCTAATAATCTTATAGCCAGTCTATCAGCTGATAATCTACATTAGCCTATTTGTTTTGCTCTTGTTTATATCCTTAAAGACATTACTACCTATAAACAGCTTCACTATTTACTGATTATACTAAGGGTGCCATCTACTTGTATCACAGTGGTCAGTGTTTGCAAAGAACTGTTGTATCTGAGCAAATCACCTACGAGTATCCACCTAAACTTGCATCTTGACTTTAGAAATACCAAGAATTTACAACCTTAGCAAAGTCAGCAGCACCATAAACTGTAATGTTTACATAAGTGCCTGAAACCAAATTACATATTCAGATAAAACTTTCAGTATTCTAGAGTACATGAACATGTTTACCCCAGATTACCAAAAATATGTTTATTAATGTCAGTTGGGAATGATTAATTAGGTTGCTTTGACTGCTGTAGAAAAAAAGGAAGCCCATTAGCATCAGAGTCAGACTGGTGGCAGCTCACCCAGGGCCCTTCTGGCAGCAGCAGCAGAGAGGTGCGGCAAAGAGGGAAAAGCACATAAGCTGCTAGAGAACTCAATAAACCATTTTGGTAAAAAATAGCAAGTATGACGCAAGCTGCAAAACCTGATCTGAATTAACAAGAATGTGTAGTGACAAGGCAGGACAGTTAATAAAGAAATCAAACGGTAAAGCACAGATAGACTCAACGGATTTTGGGAATATATATCTATCATTAGCATAATAAAGGCTCACAGCAGTCAAGGATAAATCAATCCCTTAAGGACTGTGATCTCCTGTCCTGATGTGCTTCACATATTAAAATTCTTTCCATGTGTTTGAATGATTTATACTATTAATAAATATCATTATTCTTATCTGTGACAGCTGAATTTTATTCTAATTCCACAGTTAAGGGAAGAGTAATTTGGATTAAATACAAGTTACCTTAAGGATGCAGAGTTATGTAAGTCTAGCCTAAAATCATAATTCTTAATATTGACACTTTGAAGTATTAATAGGGCCCACTCGGTCCCTTATATAGATGGCATTTTATAACATACACACATTCCTTACACAGTTAAGCTAGACATTTATCATGTGAAGTGCAGACTATCTTCCACATAGTGTTGCTACTACTAGGACAGATCAACAGGTATCTTAAGTCCACAGACAAACAACTACATAACACTTTGTATTTAAGTAATCAAATTCCTTGATTTTAACTAAGTGAAAAAGTAGTCACAAAAATAAATGCTTTTCTTGTAGCTATTTTCTCTGTAACTCTTAAGGTGGTTCCCAAAGTTCTCAAGGTACCAGTAACTCAAATTTATGGCTGGCTTATGCAGAGGTCCTGTGGTTCTAGAAATCTCAGTCTGCACTGCCTGAACTACCAAATACTCTCTCTCAGGCACATAATATTCTCTGAAGCTCTGTGTTGTCAAAACAGAGCACCGCATTCACAGGCATAGGTAGGCCCCGTCCTGAGATCTTCTCAAGCTTAGGTAGGAGAAAAATCAGGACTGTGATTGCCGCAGCACTTCTGCATCCTGCCCAGCTCTCAGCACCAGTAAAATAGCTCCAGGGCTCCATGTACTTGAAGAGATTCACTGAAGCCAGTCTCCCCTAAATCCTGATGTTGCTGCCTTGGGGCTATTTTCAAGCAGTTTAAATTCCAATTAGCTTAAAATTTCCATTGAGTACATGCTTCAGAACACCCACAGCCAGACAACAGGACACAAGACTGTATGAATTTTAGATGGAGCTAAGTGACTTGAATATGGTCCTTTGCTTGTTTCGAGATGCAGGCTAATTTTGGACACTAAACCAGACATAGTCCACATGCTCCCTTGTTTATATGGGGAAGCACTAAGCCCCAGAAAATAACTGGTGGTACCAGTTCCTGAAGTTGATGATTCTTTGTGTTCTTTTGTGACCTCACAAGTGTGAGCTGTGCTATGATTCAACTTCAAAGCACAGTAAGAACCACACATCTGGAGTCGTGGGGTCAGGATCTGCAGTTCATTATACTGAAGAGGCCAAGAACCCAGGAATTCCCACTTGCCAGCTGAGTACTTCAGAATCAGCTGCTACAAAAAAGAGTAGCAGCACTGGCTGCTCAGTACCAGAAAAGCTTGGTGAACTAAATTCTGAGTGAACAGAGATGCTTGGCATTTCCTGATATTTCTTTCTAAGATCCTGTCCAAAGACTCCAATGCATTAAAAATGTAAACATATGGGACTTTTTGTTACACATACCCAAAACCTTTCTCTAATACTGTCTACTTAGGAAACAAGACAATTATGTCAGGTAGGCTGGACAGCCCTCTCCATCACCTAAAATTTGGGTGAGACAGTGCCTCATCTGGGCGTGCAAACTAGGTGGATGCAACTTCATTCTTTGTCACTCTGATACAAAGTTCACTGCAAAACATGAGATTAATCTGTAGCTGAAGCCATGCCCAACCAAGCAA